GAGGGAAAGATTTCTTACAGATGGTGGCGCGTTTCTGGTGGCGCCTCTCCCGACGTGCCCGAAAGCCGTGGACCACTGGGCCCTCTTCTCGTCCAACTTGTGGACTTGATGGGAAACTCTTGGGAGGCCGCAAGCGAAAGGAAGCAAGGCCGCAGCGCTCGTGGTTGCGCGGCTCTCATTGGCAATTGTGGCTCTGTTTTCGCCCTTCCTGCAGGGTTCATGAGTTTCCCATCCAGCTTTCCTGTTGTAGGGATGGAAGGTGAAAAGACTTTTCTCGGTGCTATGAGCCCTGTCAACTCTGTCAGACCCTCTCCCTACCTTCCCTATGAAGTACAGAGAACCCCTACATGCTGCACTCCGTAGGTTATTACCGGCGGGGTGATGCCGGTTGGCAGGTGAAGAGCCTCGCAGTCCCCCTCCCACTTCTCTGGGATCCTTGGAAATCCTCTTGCCCCTCCTTCTTCGCCTTGTCTGCCGTGCGTTCTCCGGCCCCTGCAGCAAATCCCCCTCTCTTCCTGGCGATTCGCTGTTGCTTTGGGGGAAGTCGGCCGCAGCCCAGCAACCACCCTAGAGAAAGCATCCATTTCGACCATCCACAACACATCTAAGCCCCGGCTCATTGTTTCTGTACCCTTGTTACGATCGCTGTCGTCCTATCGAACCTTGTGCGACTACTTCGGTGAAACAAGGTGAAGCCAGCATATCCCGCGCTTGGGAAAGTCTGTCGCGTCGAACTTGAGCTGCCATCCATCTAGACCCTCACAGATATTCAGCCAGGAGTCATGATAATCAAGGTAAATAACAGAAAACGCAGGAGCAGCAAATCCCCCGGTGGCTTCCCCACGGACAAACAGTCACACCCGCGTACTATTCAACAAGCTTCCGGCGTGGTGAACTCACCGTCATGATTTACACCCTCAAATCAGCGCTACCAGTCCACAGTCCCCTAAGTCCTGATTAACCTTTTTTTGTCGCTTGAGAGCGGACAGTATCTAGCTACAATTATCATCACATGAACATAGAGGTTAAGAAGATCTCTTTAAATCTTCGTACATCTCCATTCAGTCTCTTGCTCTCTAACTTTCATTTAGTTTCATTAGGGACATAAAACGGAGCGATAAGAGACCTCAGCCGCTCATTAGTGGCATTGTAAGTATCATGGTCTTTGTTTCTCCCTCACCAAAATCGACTCTCAGCTTCTGAGACGTATCTTGCCGCTATCAGTGAAGCAGCCATTGAGACTGGCGGCACCGACAAAAGAAAACACATTCATCCAGCGTAAAGGGCTTGGCATCACCCTGCAGCTCTTTCGTCTAGGTAGCTTGCTCTGCCAAGCGATCATCCATTCTTCATAAGCCCTCTAATGTCCCATTTCTAGACGTAATCAACTACTCATCTGTTGTCGCCTTCAGAAGCCCCCCTACCCAGGGCCGAAGGCGGTTCTGCTCGCCTTACACTACTGCCCTGGATCGTGACGTTTAGGACACTTACTCACACTCAACTCAATACCCAGATCCAAAATGTCACGCGTCACACTTCTAGATCCCATGGCGTCATGGCTACCGAGCCGCTGTCAAGCTACTGCGGCAATAGAAGAATTACAATTTCTCTAGCGCAGAAATTATGACCTGCTGTTACTAACAAGTCTAGGTAGTGTAGCAAAGCAGAGCAGACACACAGACACATGCCGTGGACTCAAAATTAGCCCGAAGCCAAGCCGGGCACTTTCGTCCTAAAAAGTACGCCAGGAAAGGAATCATGACGTTACTCGAGTGCAATGGGTTTACGCACGGTCATGAGATATCGACCTTTGGTCATTCATTGACAAAAAATTACCCTCATCTAATCATGTTCTTGACGAGGGGGAAAAAAAAAGTCCACCGCTGATGCGTATCATCATGATGTCTCCCCTGTTATTGACACGAACCCAACGCCACAGCCGTAGCTAATCCGTTTTTGCGCTCCCCGCGTACTCCGCGTGTCTCTCAACCTAGAAGTTGGAGAAAGGAAGGAAAATTGACCACCGCCCCGGCCGCCCTAGATTTTGGAGAGTTCTAGAGCAACTACATCATGTTCTTCACCGGCTAAAGTTCAAGAGCCCCTCAATATACTTCCGTGTGTCAATGCCGATCCCCGACGCAAGACGGCCCGCGCCGTCACCGCCCCACCCAGATCCCGTCAGTCCTATGCCGCCCTCGGCGAACGACGAGCTGACGCCGCGGTAGCCGGCGTGATCGCTCGCCCTACGGATCAGGATAATCTCCTTACTGACCGTCGGGCTCGGCGGCGTAGGCGATGCCGGCCGCGCTGTGCTGGATCCATCGCCGCTCGCTGGGGAAACGTCCCTATCCGACGTCGACTGGGCGCCGTCCTCGTAGTTCTGCGCTGGCTGAAATGCTTCGTCGCTCGTGGCGTGTCGATTCAGGATGCGCTGCCAGACGACCCACCAGCCACGATTGGTCTTGCAGGTCCTCTCGAGCTGATTCATTTCCGGCCTGGTGAGGTTGAAAATGTTGAGTAGTTGCATGTGTGTGTTCATGGCCTCCACTCTTGACCATGGTAATGGTGCGTTTGATAGGAATGCTTGTGTGTGGTCCGGAATATTTGGTATGGTCGAATGTACCGTCATAGCCTCAGCGTCCCATACGAGATCGTAGATGTTGGACGATGAAGAACTGGACTCCGGCCTATCTGGCCGATATTGGATCGAAGATAAAAGTGGCTTTCGTAAAGGTGCCAACTGGAAATGAAGAGACTTGTAGAACGAGTTCCAGGCCAGCGAGTCGGTCCTCAACTCAAAGAGGAAAGCAAATATGAAGGGTTTGTTTACGTAAACGACGACGCGCATCTTGCTTGCTTTGTTTGAGTCCTGGTTTCCAAATGTCGGGTTCGAGCTCACAGCGTTGGCTCCGAGAGGCGTCACATCGTTCGTGAGGTTGCCGAGGTTCCTCACGACATCTGCTTCTAGGCGATCCGTGCCAACTTTGTCAAGCTCAACGTGGACGGTGCGTAGCATGGTACGAGAGTTCGATTCGGGCTCAGCTGCCTCATCTGAGGCTCCGTTTTCCTCGTCGCCACTACCCTCCTCGACATCGCCCATCAGGCCGATGAGGTAATGTCCCTCGTCATCTTCCATCTGCTTAGGTTTCACATGCGGGTTCACCGCAGCCTTAGAGGACTCCCCAGTTTGAAACGCAGCAACGGCAGATAGTTGGCTCTTAACCGCAGACGAAGAAGTATCCGATTTGCCGATTGACCAATACGTGCCGTACCCCAACTTCATGACCGTCATAAGTTTGTCCATGTGGCCATCGCTCTCTCCTTGAGTTGGCGTAGCGGTAGAGCCGGTAGCGGCTACAGTGTCGGCTTCGGTGTCGCCGATCTCGGGAACGGGGGCCGAATTGCCCTTGGTGTCACTTGGCCTTTTGGCTTCTTTCACCGTACCAATATCAAGCCCACGCCGCTCAGCCAGTGTTCTCGTCGAGGTCGAGCTCCCAGAAGCAGAGCCAGAATTTGATCGATGATTATTGGGGCGAACTGGCGGCCGTACTGCTGGCTTCGTTGTAAGCGCCGGGGCTGGTGCTGGTTTGGATTCCGGGGCCGGCTCAGATCTCTTCACCCGTCGGCCAGCGCGAAGAGATGTCGGACTATCAATGACGCCGTAGGCGTTTTCTCCCCATGTATACAAGTCTTCCATCCATAGGGTGATATCTCTCACGGACTTGCGAGATAACGCTCCTGTCCCCAGAAAAATGGCACCGTCTTCAGGACCTGGATCTTGTCCTGTACCCAGCCAGGACCTCTTCGGCTCCTTCCCGGTTTTCGATTCCCCATCGGCATCCAATGATCCAAATTTTGAGACCACCAGGTCTTTAAGACCCTCAACTCTAGTGACGAGCCCTTCCAACACCTCTCGTTCCCCACTGCCCCGCTCCTCTTCGCCGACGCCAATGCCCAGTTCGCCAGACGCAGCGATGTTGATGCCTCCAAATACTGTGCGAATTGGGTTCCCTTGTAACATTACGTTCCAAGTTGACAAAAATAGGTCCCAATACCGACCAAGCAGGCTGAGGAAACTCATTCTTCGGGAGCGAACAAACAGGGCACTGAGTGAGGTGCCATGATGAAGCAGAAAGATAGTATGAGCACGGAGCAGATCCTGCAACAGAAGAGATGACGGCTTAATCTCCTTAGATGAATACTCGACAACCTCTTCTGGGGTTTCTTCTGCTTTCCCTGTCTGAAGCTTGGGCGGCAAAGGAATACGAGTAAGATCAATGGACTGCAGGCAATCAGCAATAGGAAAACAAAGCAGTGTAAGGAGAAACGTACCGCAAGAATCCACCAGTCTTGCTCCAGCTCATGGAGGATCACACGTGTCTTGTCCGTGTCGATGGAGTCGACAGGCTGGCCGCCAGAGAAGCTCTTGCTGAACTCGACCATGCCCTGGGCAAGACCAATCTGACGAAGACGCTCATTGCGCTCCTCTTGAGACAGATTCTCAGTTGGCTTTGCACGTGAGCGGTGACGCCGTTTATGTCGTTGGGTGTTGACTGAAGAGTAGTAAACAATTTGATCGTCAAGAGTCTCATCAGAATGACCCAACGATGGGTTGAAGATGGCAAGGAAGCCTAGCTGAGCCGAAACGATGCCACCCGGTGACAATGCCATGGCTTTTTTTGATTGCTTGTGATGGTGTGGTCCTGCCAACGGCGGTTCACTGAGAGCGGGGACGGAATGCCGTGATGTCCAGACCCATGAACTTCAAAATCAATGGGTGCAACGTCGGTGCGGCGGATTCAGACGGTAGGTAGCAGCAACCGCTGACGATGGTAACCAAATGGTAGGTCCCACGGCTCGTGAGGTGGCGTCTGAAAGGCTTGGAGCGTTTCTTCTTACGCTCTAACAAGCGTCAAGAGCGGCAGGAGCGGTAGCAGCAATCCGAGCCGAGATGCAGAAATAAGGTAGATTATTCGAAAACCGAGCTGGCGTCACCGACAATGTCAGTCAGCAAGGAAGAGCTTGAGGCCGAGGCTGCCCACACAACCTGGATGGCAACGCAAGCGCGCACGCAGTGCTGGCGAGTTGTGTTCGCGATGCTGGCGAAAGCCAAGTCATTCAGTTGTGCCTCCTGCGTCGTCTTGGAGGAAGATCGGCGGTCGAAACTGCCCGGGAAGGCCGAATGGGGCTTTGGGCGGAAGATATGGAAATTCTGTGAGATCTCGATCGAGATTCCCCACGATGCAGGGCGTGCTCCAGTGGCGCCCAGGACAAGGCGATGCGAGGCGATTGAAGGTGAGTGGTCTGCTGCTGACTTGATTGGGCCGAACCGGAGCACTGTATTTTGGAAGGTATGCTGCGAAGGAGTGGAGGCCAGACCCGGCCGAACTTGGCGTGGTTACGGAGCACTTTCTCGCTTATTTTAGCCCGCGGTCTGGGCCGCCATGGACTTTCATCTCTTGTTCTAAGGTATTTTGTTCTTCCTCGATAACAATACACAAAGCCAAACTGTGTCTGGGTGAACACAAACGGATAGTGTTGGACACTTGAAATACGCTCGCCGGGACCACAGCATACCAAGGTACCTCACGGTCGGGTCCGACGGATGCTAGGACTTGAGACGGAAGAAAGAAGGGATAGAGGGACAAGACCATGGGGTACCTATCCCATTATGGGAATGTCGACCAGGGTAGCGGTACGTGCTGTTAGTGCACGCTCGAATTCGATGGACAAGCTGGGAGGGAGTCGCAGAAATGTGTCCAAGGACGGGAACGAATGCCGCAAGAACACCCAGTACGTGGGCCGACTTCCACGTTTTGGTCAACTCCGTTTCAGCAGCGGTCAAGCGCAGACCAGGTCTGGGCTGCTATGACTGGCTGGAGTCTGGAAAGAGAGAGTCACCTATCTTCATGTTACGCAACCTACCTACCTTACTCTCTCACGGCTATCTCCTGCCTCCGGTGGTCTAGCGGTGCGCTAAGCCAGGAAAGTTTGCGTGGAGTGACAACTCACGCGCAGCTCATTTCTCCCGCGTGCTTGGGGAACATGCTTCTCCACGTGGAAGTGGAACTTCAACCTCATGCCTTGGTGATCATCATGACCTTGAGCTTGTACCTCTCCAACTCTGTATCTAGAGCCGGAACCCAATGTCAAACCTTTCGAGCAGCCTGAACTGTGCTAGGAAACAGCATCTTCGAAATGGCCATGTCGGGTGCTGCGTTGCTACTTGCGTAAAGCCAACACAGCCAATGAAGCCTATGAAGATCGTCAAAAACTTCCCAACCAGGATTCAACCAATGATGGCCTCTGATCAGGTACAGGAAGCATGCTGCCATATCTATCAACAGTGATGGACTCCCCAACTTGAGAGAAGTATCACTTGGTAATCTTATCTTAATTAGCTTAAGAGCCAATACGTCCATCTCCTCGGAAGCCATCGCCCCAGCCGTAGAACACTGGAGAGAGAACTCTAGGCTGGTGATTATATGCCCATCAAAGGATAAAATAGACACAGAGTAAACGGCTTTTCATGTGCAGATTCATCTCATCGTTCAAGGGACTTGTCTTTCCTTGAAGATGGTGGTATCATTCTCAACCCCAATTGCCAACAGCCCTTATTAGGTAGCCGCGACTCCGGCCCCAAGTCTATTGTATTGTAAAACACAAAGCCGCTATGCTGTAACTCAAAACGTCGTCTCCCGTAACTTGCCAATCTTGCCAATCTCATACTCTATCCAGCGACCGACTCGCGTCCGTCCAGGCACAAGAATGCTGCCCGGGTTCATGACATGACACCCCTCGTACGTCACACAAAACGGTGGCGCCGTCGTGTCTACAAGGACCATTGATGTTGGCAAAGGGTAGAGGTGCAGAGCCGTCGCATAGTCCCAGTGCACTGGGCGGGTCGCTTGACGGAAAGGCGACAGATACCCTTGGTCCAAGATCGTCTTGACGAGCTTCCGCGCCGCATGGATGTCTTGAGGCAGGCTCGAATTGACCTCTTTTACAGCGGGCTTCTCGCTGGGAATATCAACGTCCATAGCCTCGTCTGCTTCGACTTGGTCGTTCCCTGCCATATTGACGTCGTCTGCTCCGCTGCCGTCTTCGGGAGGCTGGGTCTCCTCATCCTCGCCGGCATTCTGTTTCGATGACTTGAGGCGGACTGCCGTGCGGCGGAGGCGAGCTGAGATATCATCTCGGAAGACGACAACTTCGTGATTCGGACCGAAGAGTGTCAAACGGCTTGGGTTCGACGTCCAGATGGCCTCGCCATCGCTCTTGGCCCCGAGCTCCGCATTTGCCGCTGCGAAAACGCGTCTAATACGTGATGTGAAGACATCCGGTGCACCTTTTCGAGGCAGCGGTGTCGCAGCGCCGGCAGTAAACGCTGACACCCAACCGTCGTTGTCTCCAGGAACGAACACAAATGTAGACGTTTGGAGGAGCGTGGGGTAGTCGGACAGGGCCGAGGCCAAGGCGTCAAAATATTCTTTGTACTCAATGCTGCCGCCGCTACCACCCCTGGCAAGAACAGCATGCTGCGTGAAATTGCCCGTGACAACGAAAGTCATTGGACTTGAGCCTTCGGGCTCAGCTGCATATATCGCAAGTATCCTTCGCAAGGCTTGCAACGTTCGTGGTTGGTCAAGGTTCAACTCGCCGATGATCACCATCCGCCCTCTACTAGGCACCTCCTCGGCAGAGTGGCGGGGCAGTAACCGCTGTTCAAGCTTCCGCATCTTGGATCCGACGGCTCGTTCGCTTCCGACGCCGAGGAAATCGATCCAGCCGAATCCACCTCCTATGGTGTGATCCTGGCCGCCATCGGGACCACTGACTCCTAATGTGGCTCTCCTCTTCTCGCATGGGGGTTGACCGATGAAGAAGCCTTGGAACCTGCCGCCTAGTGTTCCTCCGACACCGCTGCTACCACTCAGTCCCTTGCCGACGGACTCCTCTTCTTCCTCGTAAACACCATCCACGAGCACAACCATTCCAGGAGCGAACCAAGCCGAATCTTCGGGGATTGCAACAGCTTGTGACACATCTAGAGCAATAGTGGCCGTCAGGTCGCTAATCGCGAGGCCTCCCGCAGGCAACACATTCAACATCCCCAAAAGCATGTGGTGGCTACCATGGCGACCTAAAAGATTGGCGATTGGGGTAATTCTGTGGTTTAGTTGGTTTGATGATGACCGTTTGCCCGAAGGAGCCCTCGTGCTCGCAACTGCTGACGTCTGGAAGGACTCGTTCCTGAGCAATCTCTGGTGTATGACATTGTACCTGTTTCTGAATAGCGCAGTTTTGTGTGATGCTGGCGGTAGGAGTGAAGGTTTTGAGGTTTCCCTGCTCATCGTTAGCGAGTAAGCTCCTGCCTCGGGCAGAACCCATGTCGTACCTCTCGAAATGCTTCTTGGCAACATTGTAGGAATATCTTGGCTGATCGTAGGCATCGATTACGTTGAACCACTTCCGCGGATCCTTGATACTCTCGTCGTCCTCTTCTTCCTCGACGCCCAGACTAGACATGCCAAAGCTCTGTTGGCTGTCCTCTCGAGCCAACGATGCCTGTGCCGGCCGCAAACCCAATCTCGCGTTTGACATGTCCACATCTTGCCCCGGTTCGATCAGAAGACTATTCTGTCGACTCAAGCCTCTGGCGCCGGCCACAATTTTGCCCCCGCTCATATTTCCCTCCAAGTTTTTCAGAATATCTTTAAGCTCTGGGCTTGCGCCATCGACGATAACTCCACCATTGCGGCTTTTCCATGACTTTGCCACCTCCTCCAGGACCTTCTCTGCGAGTCCCTCCTCTCGCCATGCGGAACCACAATGCCGGCCGATGAATGTAGCCAATTCTTGTAAGGCGGAGGAGGCAATGGTCAGACTGTGTTTCTTTGTGAAGGTTCGGAATGCCAGTGGTCGTAGTGTGGCTGGAGGTAGAATGATGGGGAGGATCGCGTGTTTCGTCGGCGCTGAGACTTTGAAAGGCTTCAAAGGATGGACTGGGGTGCCGAATGCGGGCGAGGACGAGGGTATCGCAGAAGATGGAGGGGCAGGCGTCCTTGCGGCAAAGATGTTGGCCATGGGCATTTTGCGCTTAGGAGATATTGACGGTGGCGGATCCATGATTGAGACGTTTCTCTGTGATTTGAATGGTATGGAGATGGCAGTGTATCAAAATTCGAGGATCTTTTTCGGAGTGGCGGTTGTCGCACTTGTCACAGAGTGGTTGTCAAGAACAGTCGCGAGGGACGCCAAAGGCTTAATTGAGACGCGTCCATCGCAGCGAAACACCGCGTCTTGGTTAATTGATCGCGCTCTCTTAACCCCGCGCCACAGTCAGCCGAAGTGGGGTTGAGTGTTGTGGCTGTGGCTGGAGAAGGTGGTGGCTCAAGCTTCCTTGACTGACTCTGGGCAGCTGGGATGCTGTCATCGAAAGAAATCGGAGCTGTCTGTGCCAAAATTCGAAAAGACAAAGCCTCTCTATTGCAAATACGCCGCTCCTGTCTTTCGAACCCCTCCGACCAATATACTCACAATGCTGGCACCAGTAGCTCGACTCATGCCGAGGCATGTTTCTAGACTCAATTTCTTCCGTCCCATGTCCAGCTTGCCGTCCAACCCGCACATTGTGAGTTCCTGTCCCTCTGCCATGCGTGTCGATAAAGCAGCTGACCGTTTCTACCGCGCAGAAAGTCTTCCCTGCGGATGCATCACGAGCCTCTTTTCTCCTATCCTACCTCGAAGATGAGCCTCCGAACCAGAGAATAGCCATTGGCTTCTCTACGACCGATCCTCCGACGCCACGATCGTTTATCGAGAACCAAACCTTTACCAAGATCCTCTATGAAGTTCTTGCGGAGCATGCGCATAAAGACAAGGACCTCTTAGCGCAGGCGCAAGCCTTTGCAGGGCCTGGCGGAGCCAATCTTGGCTCTGGAGGGGCACTCTTTGCCCAGAAGAACAAGAGGCGTTCGTCGAGCAAGGTCGGTGGCGGCGGCGGTGCCGGAGGCGGTGGTGCTGGTGGTGCCAGTGCCCAAGGCGGCGCCGGAGGAGGCGGGCACGGCGGTTACGTCCACCTTAGTGATTCAAGAAACCCTCCAGATTTTGGTCGCATTGCCTGGCCTGAAGATATCCTGGGCAGCGTTGAAGTCGATCAAAGCGGCAACATAATTGGTCAGCTCGAGCCAAGTGGAACATATCGAATTATCACCAACGAGGGAATGTAAGTTGCGAAGCCTCTGTGAAACAAACTAGACAGACAGACTAACACGAATAGTCTTGGGTTGAGTCCGTATCTTTCAGAAAAGCTCGTTGAGAGACTTCGCGAGGAAGACGATAAAGACCACTCGTAATCGCCCCGCAAGTATCGGAGGACTCTTCGGGGGGGGGGGGGCAGCTAGCCGACCCCCGGATGCGCGCTGTGAACTTGTACGCTCATGTAATAGTAGCTCACCACTTTACGACTGCATATATTGACGAGATTATGTTAGTCGGTTTCTAGGATGAACATTAGGTTGCTTTCTTCGCCGACAGGTACCTTTTTGGGGTCGAAGTGCAACTTGGGAGGAAGAGGGCTAGACGAAGCCTACGCGGGTTTGAAGAACCCACCCACC